ATATGGACGGGTATACAGCACAAATCCCTCTCGCGTAACCAGTCTGTCCGGTTATCACGATGTCCCTCTCGCGTAACCTATGACCGGGATTATTTAGGATATGTGTTTAAAGGTGAATCGATCTCATTATTGTGATCTCATCACGATCTGATTCCCATTGCACAAATCCAAGGACATCACAATATATATATATGCATATATGCAATAGCTATAAAGTGATATACGCCAAAATATAATAAGCAAAAAGATTCTGTATCAAGTCACACGTGCCATCACTCACGTGATTGGCTTGCTGGGCACCTATGACTAGTAGACCCAGGATAGTTGGATCCTGAACGAGTCATCCGCCGAGTCGGATGATATGGTGTTGGGCTCGGAGCAAGGTGGTGTGATTCAGCAGGGTGCGGGTATGCTCTACTCGGGCGGACCTCTTGGGTCCGTCATTTGGTCTCAGGCTTCTCCTATCCCAACCTGCTCCCTACTCGGCCTTTGCTGGGTCGGGTCAATCAAGGGAGCTACTAGCCGCACGATCTAGGGAATGAGTGGGATGAGTATCTGCATCATCCCCGCCATCGCTTGTACTTGCATGATTAGGCTGAGGAATACCTCGGGCGACACGGCTGAGGGTCCCGTGGTAAGTCTGGGGGGTGGTAACCGCGGGTCATTGAATGGGCGCCAGCTCGGGATCCCCCCATCTCGAAGGATGGGGAGGGGCTGATCTTTGGGCCCGATAGAAGGGTGACCGGTTGGTGGTTCTTCCTCGGGGAGAGCTCCCGCGGGATGCTCCTACGACACGACCCTCCTTCTAGCACCAAAATATTGGTGAATAAATGTGCGCGACTAATGAGTCGGCACAGCCTAGTCCACGGGTCGATGTCAGGAGTCTTCTGTCAGTTGAGCTGGGTGCCGAGATCAACTGGGCCCTCACGACGAGGTGTTAATTAGCTTTCCTCGGTGTGTCGATTCGGGCGCCGTTTATGCCGAGTCGCGTCTCTCCGTCTCCGGGGTGGTTTGCAGCTCTTCTTCGTACACTGGATGGTGATTCCCAGATTGAGACGCTCGCAGGTCGTGGGTTGCCACTTTCCTGCAAAAATGGCCTTCGTCGGGTAATTCCCGACTTTGGCCCCTCCGACGAGCAAGTTAGTGGAGTGTTCAATTGATTTTGCCTCTCCCCCCAGGCTAAATGTCGGTCAAAGGTCTTTATATTACTGTACGAGGATCGGTCGTACGCGGGTTGGCGTGGTAGACGTGCCAAACAGTGCATTGGTATGGATTCTGACTTGGTATGTCTTGGGGGCGACGTCGTCTCGGGATTCTCAGGACGAGATGTGCCGAGCAGTACCTTGGTATGGATTCTGACTTGGCGTGTCTTGGGGGTGACGCTGTCTTGGGATTCCCGGGACAAGATGTGTCGAGTAGTACCTTGGTACGGATTCTGAGTTGGTGTATCTTGGGGGCGACAGCGCTATCTTAAGATTCTCGAGATGTATCAAACAGTACATCGATATAAATTCTGATTTGACGTATGACATCGACTGTCACGTGTCTTGTTCCTAAAATATACCTTATCAACAATAACAATTGTGCCCTCCTGTCATGTCAGTTTCTTACCGTATATCATGTGGTGTTTTTGGCATTGACGCCTCTTGGCCGATGTGTCGTGTCACAACAGTTCATTCGATTAGCGCGTCTCGTAGTCGGAGATTGCAACTTACTGTCAGTCGAATGATTTCGCCTCTGGACGCTGCTAGTTTTACATGCTAATAATATTCACCTGATATGTCTCTTCTTTTGATCGTATTAGCCATTGGCGACGGACGGAGAACAAAGCAAACTCCAGTCAGAACTGAAATCTTGCACGCTATGGCGATGTTGAAAGGTAGCTGTTCTGGAAGACTTCCAATGGTGGTTTCACCTTCTCAATAAATGGGGCCAACATTATGATAACATCCGCCTTGAAATATGCGAGATACATCTTGACATCACCACTTTGTCATTGATACGATGATGATTAGAATCTTAATCGTATTAACTTGTTTAGAAATCTATTTACGCTCCTCGGGTTTGGGCAAGCCGCTCACACTCGACGATCTCCGCTAGGATATCGGCGAGTAACACGCTATATATTAAACGGTGACCATTGAGGCCGACTTCGATCCGCATGGTCAACGGTCAACGAAGCCCAATGAAATACGAGCGAACGCAGTAGTGCCACCGTCCCCCCCCCATGCATGCAATAATAGGCAGCTCCTCTCTGCTTTTCCCTTCCTACGGTCCAGCATACGAAAAAGCATCAAGGGGAAGCAGGTGAGAACCTGAAAGAGATTTCTATGTCCATCATCAATCCCTCACTGTTCAACGCCTCGCTGGGGACATCTCCCCAGCAAGTGTGCTTCGACACCAGAGCGATCAACTCCAGAGGCGTCTTCCTCGGGGACGATCCCCTCCGCTTCTCTGTTCCCCTCTTCCTCCTCGACCTCTCCCTCATGTTCTTCACCGCAAGCACCACCCACTGCATCCTCGGGCGCCTTAGCCAGTCTCGATTCGTCTCTGACCTTCTTGTAAGCATCCGTGAATTAACGTGCGTGCATGATAACATCTTCACGTCTGGGCGTTCTTTGGCACGTAGGCCGGCATCCTTCTGGGACCGTCGGTGATCGGGCAAAACCAGGCTTTCCAGCGAACAGTGTTCCCGGAACGCGGCATCTTCCTCGTCGACTCCCTTTCTCTCATCAGCCTCATCTTCTTCATCTTCATCATCGGCGTGAAGACGGACCTCAGCCTTCTTCAGAGGCCCGGGAAGCGCGCCGTCGCCATCGGCGCCGCTGGCTCCGTGCTTCCCTTCGCTCTCAGCATATGCACCTTCCTCGTCCTCAGGCGGGCCTTCCCCGACGACCTTAGCGAGGGTCCGCTCATTTTCTTCGTCGCCTCACGCCTTTCCCTCTCCTCCTTCCCCGTGATTGCATATGCCTTGGACGAGCTCCGACTTCTCAACTCCGACCTCGGCCGCGTCGTCCTGTCGGCCTCCCTCTTCAGCGACGTTATCAACTGGGGCTTGGGCAGCTTGACGTCAGCATACACATTGATAACCGCGGTGAAGACGCCGGGGACAGCAATAGGGATCGTGGCGTCGCTGGCGGGCAGCTTACTGTTCGTGCTACTCGTGGCGAGGCCGGCGATGATGTGGTCGGTGCGGCGGACACCGGCGGGGGAGACGCTGGTGGAATGGCATTTCCTGGCGCTGCTGATGACCGCTCTGCTGATGTCGCTTGCGACGCAGGCGTTCGGTTTCAACGTGACGCTGGGCCCGCTCATGCTGGGGCTGGCGATACCAGGAGGGATGCCGGTGGGGCAGACGATAATGGAGAAGCTGGAGCCGCTGGGAGGGGGGCTGTTCTTGCCCATGTATATGGTGCTCGCCGGGTACCGGACGAGATTCGAGGAGGTGAGGAGCGTGAAGGAGTGGGGAGTGCTGGAGATGGTGGTGGTCATCTGCTACGTCGGGAAGCTGGTGGGCTCGGTGGCCATGTCACGCTACTTCGACATGTCGGCGAACGACGCCATCTCGGTGGGGCTCATGCTCAACATCAAGGGGATCGTCGAGATCTCTGCCTTCAACACGTACGCTTGGGGTGATGGTCAAGTAATGCAACCGGAAACCAAAGTTAGCCGTGGATTCAATTCGCCAGCAGCGTAGCCGTCGCGGTAATAACCACGCACTATTCTTCCGCAGATAGCTACGGCGGAGCACTTCTCCGTGCTGACCGTGTCCATGATGGTGATCACGGGGTTCACCACGCCGTTGATCAAGCTGTTGTACAAACCTACGATGCGCTACGTGGCGCGGAAGCGCCGCACCGTCGAGCACGCAAGACCGCGTTCCCTGCTGCGCTTCATGGCCTGCGTCCACAAAGAGGAGCACGTCGCTCCCCTCCTCGACCTCCTCGAGGCCTCCTATGCTTGCCGCGACTCCCCCATCGCCCTCACCGTTCTCCACCTCACCGAGCTCACTGGCCAGTCCGCCGCGGTGCTTCGTCCCCACAAGCAGAGCCGCCGCTCCACCGCCCCCACCGCCTCCGACCGCATCATCAATGCCTTCAGCTACTTCGAGAAACAACAGGCTGAGCCGGGGTCCATCTCCGTCCACCCTTTTGTCGCTATCGCGCCGTACTCCACCCTGTACAACGACGTCTGCTCCCTCGCCCTCGACCGAAAGGTTTGCTTCATCCTCCTCCCCTTCCACAAGTGCTGCGACGGCGCCCAGGAGACTGTGAACCACGCTTTCCAGACCCTCAATCGCAACGTCCTTGCCTTTGCCCCCTGCTCCGTTGCCATCCTCGTCGATCGTAGCCTCCCTGCCGCCACCTGCGCCCACACCAACCACCTCCTCCACCTGGTCGCCGTCTACTTCCTCGGCGGCCCTGACGATCGCGAGGCCCTCGCCTTCGCTTCCCGAATGGCAAACAACCGCTCCATCACCGTCACCGTCATCCGATTGCTCCCCCACGTGGCAAACGATGACAAGGAGAGAAAGCACGATGATGCGGCGGTGGAGCGGCTCCGAGAATCGCACGCCCGTAACCAGAGGGTGGTGTACATGGAGAAGGTAGTGGAGGACGGAGAGGGGACGGCGGCAGTGATACGGGAGATGAGTGACAAATTTGACCTGCTGATAGTGGGGAGGAGGAAGGGGGTGGATTCGGCACCGACGAGGGGGCTGTCGGAGTGGAGCGAGTGCCCCGAGTTGGGGATCATAGGAGACATGCTTGCAGCGGCGGAGTTCACGGAGAAGGTCTCCATATTGGTAGTGCAGCAGCAGACGCGGTTCGGTGGCAAGCTTGGTGGTGGTGGTGATGGGATGGCAAAAGCGACGGCAAAAGCGACGGCACGTGGGAATGTCGTGGATCCAAAGAAGCCCGAAGGGGTCAGAAGTGGAGTTGCGGGGCATAGATAGACGGACAAGATTTCACGCCACCTTTATTTTATTTATTTGTTTAGGTATTTTATTTATTTATTTATTCCAACTTTTAGTTAAAATGCTTCATTCGAATCCACTCAACTCATCCCATAGTATTCGTCTGACCCGTTTGATCGCCCCAAAAAGCGCGCTTCGTTTTCCCCTCGTTGGCTCAGTGTCTTGCTTGTTTGTAGCCGCGTTTCTCGATTTCTAATTCTCGGCCAAAGATTTGGGTTGAGAGGTGAAGAAGGTCTTAGAGAAGAAGTATTTTGAGCCTTGGCCGCCAGTTTTTTCCCCTGGTTCTTATTTTGATTCATGAAATCTAGTCGGAACGGGCTGTTAGGGCAGGCTTGTCTTCGGTGAGAGAGAGATCGAGGAGATGGAAGGAGCGGCCTTCATGGGTGAAAATGGACGGGTGGATGCTTGGTGTGGATTTGTTGGGTGGTCTTTGGAGCTCTCTGCACCTTCTCTCGACGAACGAGGTACTGTTGTTTCTTTGTTGGTCACTCCATCTGTGGACTGCAATTTGATTAAGAAGTTGTTTTTCTTTGTTGATTCTTGGAACATCATATAGGGAAGGAGGGTTCTTCTTGTTCGATCCTAATGGCGCTTTATGGAATTTAGTTTGAGCTGAAATCGCCGAGCGCTCTGAAAATGGAGAAATCGTGGTTTTTGTAAGTGGTTGAGATTTCTTGAAATAAAACCCTTTCTTCAATTCTTAACCGACGGCACTGCTTCTATTTTTTTTCTGTTGTAATTACAGCTCAAAACCTATGATTATTTTATATCACTGGATGATAAGGCATATTTTGGTTCCAGGATGAGTCACCATCGACGTCACACGCCACGTCCCAACCAATGTTAGAATCCGACGCCACATGCCATCAGAACCCCATGGTGCATGCCAAGTCGGGTTCCGTACTGAGACACTATGTGACATGACCATCCCAAGAGCTCGGGACGGTGTCGTCTGACGTCGCTCAGGCATCCCCAAAAACGCCAGCTCATTAGAGAAGCCGTCCCATCCCACAAAGGTCAGCGACCGCACCGAATCGAGGCGCAACCAGTCCTCGCACGATAGTATAAAAACCCATGTCCGACACCCGGCCAAGGGGAGCAAAATCGAGATAGAATACTTCACTGACTTGCTCGTCGGAGGGGCCGAATTCGAGAAGCACCCAACGAAGGTCATTTTGCAGGAAGGCGACTACCCCTGAACGGCGAACGTCTCAACCTGGGAATTGTCATACAGTGCACGAGGATGTGCTGCCATTCATCCCGGAGTCGGAGAGACATGTCCCATCACAAACGGCGCCCGGGTCGGTAGACCGAGAAACGTTGATCAACATCCTCTCACGAGGGCCCAATCGACCCCGCTAGCCCGACTCTTGCTCGAGTCGCTCCGGAACGGCCACCCCCGAGCGGCGGGCGTCTCGACCCAAGAGATACCTTCCATCGCACAAGGGAGAGTAATGAGTTGGCCCGGATCTCGACCAACACCGACCAGCATTCCTTCCCGAGAGTGCGACCACGTCATCATCCCACTTACTCCGCAAGACACTCCCGACATCGAATCGCGGACCTAACCGTGTTGACTCATCAGCCACGGTACTTTTGTTCACTAACATTTTGGCGCTAGAAGGAGGGCACGATATCATAGGAACAACTGGTAGGAGTTCTCCCCGGGAAAGAACCACCGATCGACCTCCCTTCCGTCGAACCAGAAAGTCAGGCCCTCCCTGCCCCCGGAGATAGGGGGATCCCGGCTTCGACGCCAGATCGCTACTGGCGTTTGTTCAACGACCCGGAACTATCACCCTCGGGGCTCACCATAGGGCCCTCGGCCGTGACACCCGAGGCATTCCTTAGCTTGACCAAGCAACTGCAGGCCATGACAGGCATGATGCAAACGCTCGCTCCGATCATTCCTCAGATCGTGCGGCTAGCGATGCCCCCGGCCGACCCAACAACGTCTAAGCGGGGAGCAGGTCGGGATCGTAGAAGCCCGAGAGCAAGCAACATACCCGAGGGGTCCTCTTGGGAAAAACATACCAGCGCCCTACCGAGTCATGCTACCTCATCTCGAGCCTGACACCATATCGTCCGACTCGACGAACGACTCACTCAGAGCCCAACTATCTTGGGTCAACCAACGCTTGGACGCATTCCAGCGTGAGTTTCGAAAATCATGGAGCGAGTCCAGCAAAGGCAGCTCGGGGGGGTCCCCTTTCACATAGGAAGTACAGGATAAGCCAGTACCTCTCAACTTCAGGCTGCTGACATTGGAGACATACGACGACGGCTCCGATCCCATGGAGCACGTCTTCGCATTTCGGGCCCAGATGGCCCTTTATGGCACCTCCGATGCATTGATGTGTCGAGCATTCCCGACCATACTGAGGGGACCGACACGAACATGGTTTAGCCGGCTATGCCAATCCTCAGTCTCATCCTTCGACCAGCTTGCTGGGGAGTTCAAGTAAAACTTTCTCGCCAGCGCGCAACCTAGGCCTTCCATAGCCACCCTGCTCATGCTGTCCCAGCGAGAAGAGGAGTCGCTCTCTCAGTTCGTGGCACGTTTTACCACTGAGATCCGGGGGTTTTCGAACGCTCACCCCTCTCTAATCTTGTAGGCCTTTCTGATGGGTCTGAAGCCTTCGAGGTTCTTTTGGTCGTTGATCGAGAAGTTGCTGACGACCATCTCCTAAATGCTCTAACGCGCCAACCAGTATGTCGCCGCTGAGGCGTTGGTGGCGGGGAGGCGCATGGAAGGCAAAAGGCCAAGGGCGGAACTATCCCATGGAATGACCTCAGTGGCCCCGGCACCGCCCCGCCGTGGGCTCGGCCGACAAGAGCTATCGCTCCCGAGGCCCCCGCCTCTCCCCCTAAATACGTCTCGCACCGAGATCTTCCTCCAAATCAGGGAGACGGGTCTCTTGGAACAACCTCGTCCTATGAAAGCCACTCACAAAGATTGGTCCAAATATTGCAGGTTCCATTGGGACTATGGTCATGACACGGAGGATTGCCATGACCTCCAGAATCAAATAGAGGCACTGATTCGGAGAGGACACCTCGGACGCTACCTCAAATCCCGGGAGGCGACTCCACGCCCCAAGGGACCTGCCGAGAGACAAATCGATGTCATCTCCGGGGGACCAGCAGTCGGCGGCAGCAACTCTGCGGCGAGAAAGGCCTATGCCCGTAGCACGGTCGAGAAATGTCCCCGGCTCGAGCATGAGCCTGAAATCACCTTCGGGGCTTGGGAGGTCGAGCGCTCCCATCATGATGATGCTCTAGTGATCTCCATCCAGATCGCCAACGCCTGAGTCAAGAGGGTGATGGTTGACACCGGGAGTTCCGCCGACGTTCTTTACTTCGACGCCTTCAAGAGGCTCGGTTTGACCAAGGGAGACCTTACCCCTATGGCATCAGCACTCATAGGATTCACGGGGTATTCCATCTCCTCGCTCGGGACCACTATCCTCCCCATCACTATTTGGGAGGAGCCGAGAGTAAAAACAATAATAACCACCTTCATGGTAGTCGATCTGCCCTCGACCTACAACGTCATCCTCGACCACCCAACGCTCAACAAGATAAGGGCGATGGTTTTCACCTACTATAGGACCATCAAGTTTCCGACCTCGGTTAGGATTGGGGAGGCCCGAAGTGACCCAAGGGAGTCAAGGCGATGCTACCTCGCCACGGTCACTCTCCTAGGAAAGCCGCGCCACACTCCGGTTCCCGATCCTCGTGAAGAACCCGTACCACAAAAGCCACTGGAACCTCCCGAGCCACTCATCGAGGTACCCCTGAAGAGGAGCCGATCTGACCATACCGTCAAGGTCAGAGCCATGCTCCCCGAAGCGGACCAGCTCCACCTTATTGATTTCCTGAGGAAGAACGCCGACATGTTTGCATGGTCCCCCGAAGAGATGCTCGGGATCGACCCAGAAGTGGCACAACACCGGCTCAACATCGACCCCGAGGCACGGTCGGTGAGACAAAGACCAAGGAGGTTCGCCCCCGACCGACAGAAGGCGATCGAGGACGAGGTCGATCGCCTTATAAAGGCCGGATTCATTACTGAGGTTAAATACCCTCGGTGGCTATCGAATGTAGTCCTCGTTAAAAAACCTAATGGAAGCTGGAGGATGTGTGTTGATTACACCAATCTCAACCGGGCATGCCCCAAGGACTGCTATCCGCTCCCCAGGATAGACCAATTAATCGATGCCACCGTGGGCCATGAACGCCTTACGTTCATTGATGCATTCTCGGGCTACAACCAAATCTGAATGGCAACCCAAGACCAAGAAGACACTGCCTTCGTCACCAACCGAGGGGCATATTGTTATAAGGTGATGCCCTTCGGCCTAAAGAACGCTGGGGTGACTTACCAAAGGATGGTCGACAAACTTTTCAAGCACCAGCTCGGGAGGAATATGGAGGTGTACGTAGATGACATGATTGTAAAAAGCAAGGTCTCAAGAAAACACCTGGCTGACCTGACGGAAACGTTTCAAACGCTTAGGTGGTTCAACATGCGTCTGAACCCTGTGAAGTGGGTCTTCGGAGTTAGCTCGGGGAGGTTCCTCGGCTTTGTCATTCACCGATGGGGGATAGACGCCAACCCAGAAAAAGTGCGAGCCGTTACCGAGATGCATTCCCCTTGCTCAGTCAAAGAGGTGCAGCGACTTGCTGGAAGGTTAGCAGCGCTCAACAGGTTTGTGTCGCGATGGACCGACAACTTTACATGGACTCCGGAGTGCGAGGAAGCCTTCGAAAAGTTGAAGGTGTGCCTCGCCCGCTTGCCCCGACTCGCCTCGCCCGAGCTAGGCGAGACCCTTGGTCTCTACTTGGCAGCCTCGGCACAGGCCGTCAGCTCGGTGTTAGTTCGGGAGATACCACCAGCGCAGCAACCCGTACATTATGTCAGCCATATCCTCGGGGGGCCCAAGGCGTGGTACTCCCCGATCGAGAAGTTAGCTCTCGCTCTTAT